GAAAAGAAAGGAAGAAAGAAAGGAAGGAAGGAAGGAAGAAAGGAAGAAAGAAAGAAAGGAAGGAAGGAAGGAAGGAAGGAAGGAAGGAAGGAAGAAAGAAAGAAAGAAAGAAAGAAAGAAAGAAAGAAAAAGAAAGAAAGGAGGAAGAGAAGAAGGGAGGAGCAGAAAGAGCAGAAGGAGCAGGCAGCAGTTTACAAAGAAAATTTCCTCCTTTTGGCAGGATTTTTTTACTCCATCTTCCTTAGGTAAAAAACACTTTGTGATATTCTCTGAACCAGTGGTTTCCCAACTCACCAATCTGATTAAAAACGCAGATGCCAAGAAATCACCCCCAAAAAGTCTGATTCGTAGATCTGGGTTAGGGCCAGGAATCTTTCATCAAACATTGCAGGTTATTCCAAAGCATGGACTCAGAGGATCACATTTTAAGAAATAGGAACACAGAATTAAGTCCCAGATGGCTCTCCATCTCTAATGAAAACCACAGAATATTCTTTTAGCCATTATCAGAAACCTTCCTAGAATGTATAAAGTTGGAGAAACCATATTTTAGTTTGTTGTTAAAAGTAAACATATACTGCTTGCACTACAAAATGTGAGTTATTTTCATCATTAATAACTATCTTCCTTCAGAAAGGACAATGTGCCTTAGAAGAAAGATACACTGTAGAAGTTGTAACAGAATTCGTTAATTTTAACTCTCATTAGATTAGTTTTTCAGCAGGCTTTTTCTTTTTTTTAAGATTTATTTATTTTTATTGCAAAGTCGGATATACAGAGAGGAGGAGAGATAGAGAGGAAGATCTTCTGTCCGATGATTCACTCCCCAAGTGACCGCACGCGCTGTGCCGATCTGAGGCCAGGAGCCAGAAACTTCCTCCAGGTCTCCCATGAGGGTATAGGGTCCCAAGGTGCTGGGTTGTCTTTGACTGCTCTCCCAGGCCACAAGCAGGGAGCTGGACGGGAAGTGGAGCTGCCGGGATTAGAACCGGTCCCCATATGGGATCCTGGCGCGTTCAAAGTGAGGACTTTAGCCGCTAGGCCACAGTGCCAGGCCCCTCAGTCAGGTTTTTTAGAGGAGAAGGTCATTTAAAAAAATCGATAGGTCTATCTTCTCGGAGAAGGTGTCAATTTCCATCTATTACCAAATAAGTGTGTTGAAAAGCCCCATTTAATATAAGGTGAGGGGCAGTCATTTTTGGTAGAGTTGGTTAAGATGGCACTTGAAAAACTTGCACCACGTATCACAGTGTCTGGTTGGGGTCCTGGCCACTCTGCTTCTGACGGAGCTTCCGGATAATGCACCCTGGGAGGCAGCAGATGCTGGCTTAGATGCTTGGGCCTTCATCACTGAGCAGAGAGACCCACGTGGAATTCTTGGCTCCTGGCTCCAGCCTGGCCCAGACCTGGATGTAGTGACTGAGAAGTGAACCAGCAGATGGAAGATTTCTCTCTCCCCTTGTTGCTGTGCATTTCAAATAGACAAAAAAGAAGCAAACCTTTAAAAAATAAACAGGTATACATGTTGAGTTCTGCTGCCTTATAGCCAGGCACAGGGACACTTAGGAAATCCATTTGACACCCATCTATCCAAAGGGTCCTCAAGAACTTTTACAGAAAATGTACACATGAAAACTTCATGCATGGGGCCCAGAGCGGTGGTTCAATTGGTCAACCCTCTCCTTATAGGTGCTGAGATCCCATATGGATGCAAGTTTGTGTCCCAATTGCTCCAGTCCCATCCAGCTCCCTGCTTATGACCTAAGAAAGCAGTAGAGGGTAGTCCAAGGTCTTGGGACCTTGCACCTGTGTAGAAGAACCAGAGGAAGCTCCTGGCTCCTGGTTTCACATCAGCCCAGCTCTGGCTGTTGCAGCCATCTGGGGAATGAACCAGAGGGAGGAAAATCTTTCTCTCTGTAAATCTGTCTTTCTAATAAAAATAAATCTTTTGGGAAAAAAATGAGAGAGAAAAGAAAAATCTATGCATGGGTTTCAAAATTTGGGGGGCAACAAAATACTTAGTCTTTATCTCCCACGAGCTTCTTGTAGTCCATGGTGCGTGTTGTGAAACACTCTCCTGTGTGAGTGCCAGCAACAAGACTTGTTACTGCATTGTCTCATCCCTTCTCTCCCTCACACGAGCGTCTTTAGGCTATTTTCTAGCTGACTTGTCCTTTGCAATAGGAGCCAGCAACCGTTAGTAAGCAGTCAAGGCTCCCCTAAGTCTCTGTGACCCATTCTAGGGCGTTCCTCCAACTCTGTGCTTCTTCCTTCACCGAACACACCGGCAGGAGGCCACAGAGAGCCTGTGCGGAAGAAGGAACCAGTCATCATAAAAAGCCACAGTTCTGAAAGCAACCCAAGAAACCCAGCTTATGCGTGTGTGGCTTCCTCCTCTGAAAAATGCAAATCCAAATGCAGTTCTTGATACTGGACTTCCAATCTTGAATGTGCATCTCAACCCAAGAAGCCACCTCAGTGGGTTTTCAGTGCGTGACAGCAGTTTGTGATTACCATGAAACAGCAAGCAGTGGACAGAAGCAGCCAGCGATGCCTGCACCTGCAGGGTTGCTCTCACTATTCTTCCAGCTCACCCTCAGCGGCTGAGCAGCTTTGGAAGGCCTAAGGACTGCTGACAGTGTTAATAGTGGGGAGGTAACCTCCGTACTCCCTGCCAAGTAGCCACCCACCTCCCACCAGGCTCCTCTCCAGAGACTGTCTGGAAGCAAAGAAAACAAGACAGAGAGGGATCTAGGGAGAGAACCAAGGGATGGCTCATACGGATGGCCCTGTGACGCATCAAAGAGGAGAAAACCCCAGGATGCAAAGCAAGGCCACATGGCCAGCTTCCCCCTGGAGGGACACAAGGATGGGTGAAACAGAGAGAGCCAGGACAGTAATGGCCCAAGCCCACAGTTGCGTAGCTATGTGATCCTGGGTTGATTGCTTGTCTTGTCAGAGCTTGAGTGTCCTCATTTGTTTAGTAATAAGATCAGCTCTGCTGTTCTCTATGAAAACGTTCAGTAAGACCCAAGCATCAAATAAATGTTAATGGCTTATTTTCTTTCTCCAGTCTGTTGGGAGAAGGATGCAAGGTGGGAAAAGGAAACCAGCTGAGTTCTATATAAATAACACCAGAAAAGAGTCTGAGCGTGAGGACCATTTTAACACCCACCTCTGTTGGAAAGAGACTCTGCTCTTCATGCAGAAAAAGAATCTGACTGAGGAACGACTTCATAAGTTGCCATGTGCCCTTTCAAGCTAACGTCATTTGATGAAGTGCAAGAGCTTGTTTTCTAACTAGAAGAAATGTCCCAGACATTTCCATTTTTATGGGAGGACTGGTAACAACTTCCATTTGTCCAGTCACTATGTTCCAGGTATTGTTCTGTGTCCTCCATGTTAATCATGCACTTAATTTTCACAACCACCCCGGGTGACACAGGCTATTCTTGCTGTCTCCTGCTTGCCACAAGGAAACAGAAGCACATAGAATGGAAAGAACACTCTCAAGGTCACACAGCTGGGAAACCAATGGTGGCATTTGGCTGTGATCCCAGCAATCCAGCCACAGAGCCTGTACACTCCTCTCAGATTAAGTCAGAAACTGGATATGGGGACAGATTTCAGAGGGTTCCAAAGAGAAAAACCAACCTGAACCAGTAATTCTGCAGGATATTCCTGTCTGGATCTGCTGTCTACAGCTAGGATGATTCATGTCTAGATCTTATATGTTGTTTTTAGCCAAAGGATCTTTTTAAAATTCCACTTTTATGTCAACAGCAATGATGTATGAAAGGCTTTCCCCACTACTCAGACCTTCTCGAAGGAGCGATGTCATAGGAATGCAGTAACAAAGCCCATATCCCATATTTTGGGAACCCACAAAAGTATGGAGAAAAGAAGGCAGTGCCAAAGACACTGGGTCACTGTCTCCCAAACTTACGCCTGCTCAGTGTCCTCCTCCCTCCAACCTTGGTCAGCCCAGAGATTTTTGCTCCAAATTCAGGATCATACAAAAATAAGTGATACATAAGTGCTCTTCTTTCCTAACCAGCCTGAGCTTCTGAGATTCTAGGATTCATATTTCAGCTTTGTTTTATTCCTATCTGACATATTTGTGCATGAAGACTTAGTTCAACAGGAAAACCACTTCTGAACTGTTTGGTATTACTTAGGATATGATTTACAGGTTTCAAGGAGACCTACAACTAATTGTTCTAGATCAACATGATGGTATGTCAAAAATCCACACAAAAGGGAATTAACAGGGGCTGGCACAATAGCTCAATTGGCTAATCCTCCACCTACAAACATCAGCAGCCCATATGGATGCCAGTTCGTGTCCTGGCTGCTCCACTTCCCATCCAGCTCCCTACTTGTGGCTTAAGAAAGCAGTGGAGTACGGCCCAGTGCCTTGGGACCCTGCACACATGTAGGAAATCCAGAAGAAACTCCAGACTCCTGGCTTCACATGAGCTCGGCTCTGGCCGTCAAAACCATCTGCGCAGTGAATCAGCAGATGGAAGATCTTTCTCTCTGTCTCTCCTTCTCTCTGTAAACATCACTTTCCAATGAAAATAAGTAAATCAAAAATAATACTAATAGGGCCCGGCGGCGTGGCTTAGCAGCTGAAGTCCTCACCTTGAACACACCGGGATCCCATATGGGCGCCGGTTCTAATCCCAGCAGCTCTACTTCCCATCCAGCTCCCTGCTTGTGGACTGGGAAAGCAATCGAGGACGGCCCAAAGCTTTGGGACCCTGCACCCGTGTGGGAGACCCGGAAGAAGTTCCTGGATCCTGGCTTCGGATCGGCATAGCATCAACCATCGCGTTCACTTGGGGAGTGAATCATCAGACGGAAGATCTTCCTCTCTGTCTCTCCTCCTCTCTGTATATATGACCTTCCAATAAATAAATAAATCTTTAAAAATAATAATAATAATAATAGAAATAATAAAAATGTGTGGAACATTCACCTATTGTCTACTTCCCTAGAGTCTTCACTGCGATTGCCTACGGTGCTATGGTCATTGGAGAAACACTTGTTCTGGCACCCGAATATTCCAAAGCCAAATCTGGAGCTGCGCATCTGTTTGCCCTGCTGGAAAAGAATCCGACCATAAACAGTTACAGCCAAGAAGGCAAAAAACCCGTAAGCTCCACTACGATTTTCAGAGAAGGCGCAGCCTGGTGACTTTAAAAAAGATGAGGCGCAGTAACACAAAGAGTTAAAAGCTCATCTAAAATAATTTTATGCTACAAGGGGGGAGGGGAGAGGATCTTGTCTTAGCAGAACTTTAACGTCCTCTAGCAAAAGAAATGGATTTGATATTCTCAAAAGAGGAACCTCACAGACATGAAACAATCGAAATAAGATTTCATATTGCTCTTCGGGGAAGCAAGGCTGTAAGAAACTTGATTTTTGGGTATATACGTGTAATGCTACTTTTATTTCTTTTTAAACATAGTAAACCAATTGGGTGTCTCTCTGATATCTACCTGTCCCTATTAGATAGGACTGAATGTGTGGCACAGAATTTACAAATATTTCTTAAAATATAAAGCAATATATTTCATCTTTGATTTAATAAAAGTGAAAAACATCTAAATATCATTTGCTTTTATAAATTAAAATCAAGTCAAACTAAACTGGCAAATATTAAGTATTGAGGCGGGATGGTAGGCACCGGGCTATTTGTTATTTTTCCCCCTTTTTCCACTTTGTTTTCATGCACTTGAAAGACAGAGCAATAGAGAGAGAGCACATTTGTGAGCGAGATCTTCCATCTACTGGGTCAGACCCCAAGTCCTTCTACCAGTCAGGGCTGGGCCAGGATCCCAGAACTCCATCCGGGGCTTCCCTGTGGATTGGAAGAGCCCAAGAACATCTTTGATCTGTCACCTGCTACCTCCCCAGGCGCATTAGCAGGAAGCTAGATTGGAAGCAGAGGAGCAAGGACTCAATGTGGACACCTCGAGCAGTGGTTTAACCCACTGTGTCACAACGGCTGCCCTTCTCTGCTTTTATATATGTTTGATACCTTCTGTAATAGAGTTTTGAATAGTAAGAATAAATTCTAACATGCATTGAAATCTAGAAGTTACATGAAATATCTCCATATGCCTTTTCCAAAATATCAGATGATACAAACAAAAATCGTCATCTCCAAGTTCATGCAGAATTCTGGTTCTTTTCTGAACCTCTTTGTGTGTGTGTGTGTGTGTGTGTGTCTGTGTGTGTGTGTAATAATACTTATGCATTATGGAGGCAAAATGGAAAACAAGGAATAAGCTAAAAATAAACTATTCTGTACTTACATTTTGATACATATGCTCCCAGATTTGTTTTTTTTTTCTATTTTCAGTATTCTTAACCATGTATCTAAACATACCATCAAGTAGAGATAAGTATTGAGTTGCAAATCATCAGCCTCTAAAAAGACTGGCACGTACAGAGGAAACTGAACTTCCAGGCGAGCATCCCTGTCAAATAGCAACCATCTGCAAATGAAGATAAATCACATATGAACTGCAACCGGTGCCCCATTTACACATTAATGCATGTAGCTGGTGAGGACCCCAGCTCTTCTGCACTAAGCAATAAAGATCTGTAAACAGACCATGTTTAAAAATATGTATGTATGTAGGTAGGCATCCAAAGCAGTTGGTCAAACACCCACTTCTATAGAACAGACTGCCTGCTTAGTCCCATCAAAGGAAGCCAGTGCTTTTTTGGAACTTTGCTAAGTCCAGCTGTCAAGATAACAAGAAAGAAGGTAGGGGCAGAGATTCGGTACAGTGGTTCAGCCCCGTTTGGGAAGCCCACAACGCCTACTTTAATACCTCGGTTCAAGTTCTGCCTCTTCGGCTTCGAGCTCGGCTTCCTAATGCACACCTGGCAGGTAGCAGGTGACGCCCCAAGTGGGTTAGGTGGCTGCCACACACAGGGGCGACCCTAGGTCGCTGCCACTCACAGGGGCGACCCCAGGTTGCTGCCACCCACAGGGAAGGCCCAAGCTGAGCTGCTGTCTCACAGTTTGGCCATGGCCCAGTCCTGGCTGTTGTAGGCATTTGGAAAGTGAACTGCAAAAAGAATGCCTCCCCATCTTTCTCTTTCTCTCTCTCTCTCTCGCTTGCTCGCTCGCTCTCTTATCTTTTGCTCTCTCACTCTGCCTTTCAAACAAAAAAAAAATTTTTTTTAAACACTACAGTGCCCATTTTTTAATAAAAATCAGAGAAATAAAAATACAGGCAGAGATGACAGACATTAACACTCAGCACTAGAAATGAACACGACGCTTCCAGGCTAACGGTGGTGGACAGGTGCACAGCTCCCAGCTAGCACTGAGCCAGGGACACAGCCTTGCAGTCGCCCTTCTGAAAGCTGTCCATTTCCTTCCACAGGACACATGTGAGGGCAACTTGGAGTTTCGAGATGTCTCTTTCTTCTACCCGTGTCGCCCGGACGTGTCCATCCTCCGTGGCCTGTCTCTCCGCATCGAGAAAGGGAAGACGGTAGCATTTGTCGGGAGCAGTGGCTGTGGGAAAAGCACTTCAGTCCAACTTCTGCAGAGGTTTTATGACCCCACGAAAGGGCAAGTGGTGAGACCGGATTCCAAGGCACCCAGCCTGGGTGCTTTTCTGAAACAACCTCTGGGAACTAAGCATCCTGCTTTGGTTTGGTTGGAGGAAAACAATGAAGAGGTTCAAAGAAAAGGTCCTTATCCTAATCCTTAACTAAGAAAACAAGCAATGTGGTAATAAAGATGATGATTCGGGACTTTGAAGTTAAGTTCAAAGGCCCAAAGATTCTTCAGCCAATCTGGGGAATTTGAATCTAGTGAGCCACACGATTCCTATAGAACATGGGTTTGGAGGGCGGGTCCAAAGTCCGCATCACAGCTCTTGGCTCTTGATCCTGCTGGGGTTGAAGGCACAGGTAAAGGTTTGCTCCACGCCTCCTGGTTGTGGTGTTGCTGTTCCCTGGTCATCTCCACCCAACTGTGAAAAAACCCAGTGTGGGATTTCAGATTGATTAAATAAGCACCATTAGCTCAGGTGCCCCAATCTTGAAAAAAAGGCGTAACTTCTTCCCCCTCGATTTCTGACATTACTTGATATTTATCACGTTATATTTAGCATCTCTTCCTCCTTGCGAATCCTCAGCATTGTCCGATCAGGAAACATTCCTCTGTTTTCACCCTGCACACTCCTTCCAGGGAGCCCTCCATGGTTTCCCGCTGCTGTCAGCAGAAACCACCATCAGTCAAGGTCTTCCATGACCCGACCTCTTCACGCACTCTCAGTCACATTGGCTTCTTCAGACACATCCATGAGCCTTTGATCTTGCCGAGGCTGTCCTAGCTTTTAACTTCTTCTCTGGCTCCTCCTTGCCATTCTCCTTCCTAGTCTGAGTACACTTCCTACACCTCCGTCACTCTCCTGGGACGTGTTTTCAGGGCATTCATTACATGTCCACGTGAGTAACAGTAATATGCAAAATGCCTTATCAATACATGTGGGGGCCGGTGCTGTGCTGTAGGGAGGAAAGCATCTCCCCTTACACACACACACACCTGTAATGTCAGCATCCCATGTGGGGACCGCTTCATGTCTTGGCTGCTCCATTTCTGATCCAGCTCCCTGTTCATGGCCAGGGAAAAGCAGCAGCAGATGGCCAAGTCATCAGGTACCTGTACCCACATGGGAGACCCAGATGAAGCTCCTGTCCCTTGGCTTCAAACCTGCTCCATTCCTGGCCATTGCAGACATCTGGGGAGTCAGCCAGCGGATGGAAGATCTTCTGTCTCTTTCTCTCTCTCTCTCTTTCAAATAAGTTTTAAAAAGAAAGATATGTGAACCGAGTGAACTACTACATCAGTCTACACCTTGAGTTTCATCAGGCTCTAATCAGGTCCCAGTGGCAGGGGCAGCTGGTCACCTTACAATTCCACCTGACTTCAGCACTGGGTACCCAGCCTTGCTTCAGACTCCAGGCTGATTTCTGGAATGCGGGTCGATTCCTAAGAACATCGGCTGAGTCCATTTTAGTGAGTTACCTGTCGCTTGCTGTGCCCGACGTGTAATTTACGAGCCTCCCCTGGGTCACAGCACACTTGGGGATAGCTGACATTCCTTAGCTTCTGACTATGATTTGTGTCCGTTGGAATCCAGCGAGCATAACGTGATGCCGCTGTCAGATCTTCACATTCCCTTCTCGGTTCTGCTGCCGGCAGCTGCTGGATGGCGTCGACGCAAAAGAACTGAACGTGCAGTGGCTCCGGGCTCAGCTAGCCATCGTCTCCCAAGAGCCCGTGCTCTTCAATCGCACCATCGCCGAGAACATCGCCTATGGTGACAGCAGCCGCGCCGTGCCCTTGGAGGAGATCAGGGAGGTGGCCCAGGCGGCAGACATCCACGCTTTCATCGACAGCCTCCCTCAGGTAAGACACACCCGACACCTCAGAGCCCCACCAGTTGTGGCACCTGTACTGATTGCACTGTTTGGGCTGCACAACTGATGTATTTATTGCCAACATTTTAACACACGGCTATGGAACAAAAAAGCAAAGCTAAAAGCTTCTGTGGAATAATTTTTTTTTTTTCTAAGCCCAGATCTTACTATTTGTTGCATTAGCTCTGGTACTTGGACTCCTTCCCCTCTGTCCACCAGGGCTATTCTGTCCTATGAATCACAGTCACTTTCCTGGGTAGAAGACCTCACAAGCCCCTTCCTCACACCAACCAAAAGAACCCTTCACGTCCCTAAATCCGACCTTGTCCCCTGCCTGCTTAACAGTGTTGCAGTGTCTGTTCACCCCAGAGGCGACCCCTGGTGTGGCTGGCAGTACTCTGTGCCACCCCACCCAGCTGTCTCCCTAGCCCTGAAGTTGCCACTTGCTCCCTCTGCTGCAACCCTGCTCATCTCCTTTCTGTCTCAAGAACACACCAATGTGTGCCCTTTCTCATTCCCCATTTCCTTAGCATGCACGTCCTTCCTCTGGCTTCTTGCATAGCCAGTTCCTTAGCAGTCAAGACCTGGGCCCGATGCTGTGGCCAAGCGGCTAAGTCCTCGCCTTGAACGCATCGGGATCCCATATGGGCACCAGTTCTAATCCTGGCAGCTCCACTTCCCATCCAGCTCCCTGCTTGTGGCCTGGGAAAGCAGTCGAGGATGGCCCAAGGTCTTGGGACCCTGCACCCATGTGGGAAACCCAGAAGAGCTCCTGGCTTCCAGCTTCAGCTTGGCACAGCACTGGCCATTGTGGTCACTTGGGGAGTGAATCATCAGTCAGAAGATCTTCCTCTCTGTCTCTCCTCCTCTATATATATCTGACTTTGTAATGAAAATAAATATTAAAAAAAAAAATCAAGGCCTTTCAAATGTTACCTTCACAGAAGCTTCATCTGGCCACCTGATATAAAACAGTCCCCTCTACTCCTATTCCACTTCACGTTGTTTTCAGGGTACTTACCACCACCTGACGTGACCCTGAACACTGATTTATTTATTTTAAATCTCCCTTCCCTGCCAGAGTGTAAGCTTCTTGCCTCACTTTTTTTTTTTCAACCTTATCTCCATTACTGGCTATAGCGGGTGAGACAAAAATCTCACAGAAATCAAAAATCTTGGCTGGGGCAGGTATTTGATACAGTGATGACGATGCCAGTTGAGATGCCTGCCTCCCACACTGGAGTGCCTGGCTTGGAGGACCAGTTCTGCTCCTGATCCAGCTTCCTGCTCACGTACATCCTGGTGGGCAGCAGGTGATGGCTCAAGAATTTGCCACCCATATGGGAGACTTGGATTGCGTTTTTGCATTCTGACTGTAGCCTGGGCCCTGATTGCAGAAATCTGGGGAGTAAACTAGCCAATAGAATATGCCACTGTTTCTCTATGTTGGTCTTTCAAATCATAAGATGAAAGGAGAAAAAGAAAGAAAGGGGAAATAGAAAAAAGGAAGGAAGGGAGAGAGGGAGAGGAGAGAGAGAGAAGGAGAGGGAGGAAGGGAGGAAGGGAAGGAAGGAAAGGAAAGTTAGCTTTGAGGTGATATAGCTATGTGGCAAGGCCATGTCATAGCTCTGGATACCCACTCCAGCCAAAGGCATCTGCTGAAGGCACGTGGATATGGAAGGAAAGGCAATTCATTCAAGCCTCTTCAGGGCATTCAGTCAAATAGCAGGTGGTTTGTGCAACCCACTGTCTCCGAGTTACCGTGACAGCCTTCACCTCTAGCAGGCTGAGCACTTGGATTTGCTTTCAGATGAAGCTGATTCATGCCTGCATACCAATGGTGTACGCTTCTCCAACAAACAGCCCAAAGCTCCTGCCGTGAAAGCAATGGGGTGATCTGTGACGCCAACAGAAACATGCTCACTGCCCACAGAGCTGATCTGTGTAGATTCAGGAAGCCGCAGTGGCTTCAAGACCAGAATGGGATTTCCTTTACTTTCCGTGGCAGGGTCGTGAGTACGGAGGGGGAACGATGGAAAGCTAGCCCAGTGTTGAACGTCATTGTGAGCTCTTGGCAGCCTCAACAGGTGAATGGATGCATTCGAGCAGCCAACCCAACTTCCACCCAGGCAGACCAGTGAGCTATGGAAACCTACATCCTCCAAACATTCAAAGGGACAAACCCAGGCTGGGTTAGCAAGAGCCCAAGAAAAAGAACCCCATGATGTCCATGTTGTCTTTTGAACACTTGAAATCATTTTGACCTATAAATAGAAGGTACTGTCCCGTCATGGGAAAGAGTTATGGTAACATGAAACTATCTCCTGCTAGTAATTCTTCTTAGGGTTCAATGTGCAAATTTCCCATTCAGAATCACAGGTCTGCTGTTAAGGATCAAAAGCGACATGCAAATGAGACAGTGGTGTTTATTTTTCTTTAAGCATGTACTTGCAACAAGACCCAAGAATAGACTTCAGTACAGAGATTTTTAGGAGTAGCAAAACTTGAACTATTGTGATGTTTCATGCCCACAGCTGCCATGCTAACTTAAATAACAAAACCTTGCTCTGTTGATTGTACATCTTTGCCACAGAAATATGACACCTGCGTTGGACTGAAAGGAATACAGCTTTCTGGTGGCCAGAGACAAAGAATCGCCATTGCAAGGGCTCTTCTCCGAAAACCAAAGGTTTTGCTGTTGGATGAGGCCACGTCGGCCCTCGATAACGAGAGTGAAAAGGTAACATCTTGCCGTTTCATCTCAGGAATGTATGACCAAATGAATGCATGACCAAATGTAAGTGTACGTGCAATAACAAGGAAGGATATCAGGCCAGTCTGGGAAAAAAGAAAGGCCTAGAAAATACTTCTAGTCCCAAGATCACTATTAAAGTTAAAAGATCCGAGTTCAGTGGAAAGGTAAGAGGTGAGGCAGACGACTGTGTGTTCTGGAAAGATTTTCTTCCTTGAATTGGTCACATGATCAAAATAGACTCGAGTCTTGCAATATTTCTTCACTCAAAGAAAGAATCAGGAAATGCTCTTTATCTCATTATTACTCCAATGGTGGTAGTTGGCTAAAATAAATCATTTCCTACATGGATAAAGAAGTAATCTGACCTGCAGAGTCCTCACCTGCTAGCTCTTCTACTTCTATGGAGTAGCCGTCACATTCGCTTAGCTGGAAACGAGGAACCAAAAAGGCTTATAACAGCACACTTCCAAAACAAGTTCTTGGCTCCAATCTTGCTATGCCCTTGGCCCCTAGTCATCTCCTCAGCAGGCATTTATTTAATAAACACACAGAACTAAATACATGAGAGTTATTGATATTTTTTCAATGTTTATGATATGCTATAACCTCCATCTTCACAACGGAAGGATTAGCTCCTTTCGTTAGCACTCCCACTTTCAGATGAGCACAATGAAGCCCAGAAAGATGAAGTCATTTTCCTAGTGGCTATAGAGAATGTCTGACAGTGAAGCCACAAGTGATGGCTATCTTGGGGGTAGAAATCATTTTGAATTCCTGAAGAATGGAGCTGGAAGACTTTGGAGTGATGCATGCCTGGTCTGTAATCCCAACATTCACCGGGGCAAAAGTGTGAACTCACGTGACCTAAACTCTTCGAACTACAGTCCCTTTATCAGAAAAATGAGAACACGTCCGCCTGATACCACTGCTGCGAGGATTCGGCTGACACATCCACAACCGGGACATTTTAAACCCTAAAGAAACACAGCATTTCACCCTTCATTCTCATCTTCCCTAAGGGACGTGACGCCCTCATTGGTGGCTGAGATGCTGTTTTAACCAGGACAGTTTTATAGCTACGTTGTACTAAACAATACGAAAAACAGCAATGAGAGTAAATTAGATCAAACCAACAGCTTCATTTATTTATTATTCAGTTCCTGGCTTTGAGGTCAGAAATATGCATCAACAGCATATTTTTTACTCATGCTCACAAATGCTCTCCCAGCCAAAGTCTTATTTTAGGTAGCTATCATGGATTTTTCCAGATTTCTAGTGAATAGAGAAGGTTCACCAAGTTGGGCCATCCCTGCTGGGGCAGGGGGAGGGGGCGGGGGGGGTTGGGGGAGGGTGGGGGAGCCAGTACAAGAAAGGTTCTTCCAGCTCCTTCACCGATTTGACTTGGGGAAGCTGAATAACAGACTCAAACCTAAACTCACAGTCACAACAACCACCTCTCTTGCAGGTGGTCCAGGATGCTCTTGACAAAGCCAGAAGCGGCAGGACATGCCTGGTGGTCGCACACAGACTCTCCACGATACAGAACGCGGATTCGATCGTGGTTCTGCACGACGGGAGGATACGGGAGCAGGGAACGCATCGCGAGCTCCTGCGAAACCGTGACGTCTACTTTAGATTAGTCAACGCACAGTCGGTGCAATGACAGGGTCGAGCCGCCCTCGCTCTGTATAATCAGAGAGAGAGTTCTGGGCAACCAACTCCCTGGCAGCTACAATCTCTTTTATTGCATCTATCAGTGCCGACAATCATGCTACTCAAGCACAGGCACGTTCTGATCACCCAGCATCTCCTTCCCCTTGCAGTCTCCCAAGGCAGCAGCCCCAGTGAGAGCCTTTACTCCAGCTAAGATCGTTCTGTTCACTTTCGCTGATAAAGCAGTTTTCTGCACACTGAATCTGGCGCTTCTACTTCAGTTGGAAATGGGTTCCCACGGGGAAAACGTCCTGGTTAATTACACAGAAAAGTTTCAGCAAAAGGAGAGTAAGATACAAACGGGGCCGCAGCATTGCACAAGTGTCACTCTCTCCAGCCCATTTTGGAGCAGTTGTTGCTTTTCTCCAAGCTTCTCTCTCTCTCTCTCTCTCTCTCTCTCTCTCTCTCTCTCTCTCTTCTGTTTTTCTCAAAAAAACAAACAAACAAAAAACCACTCACCATTTTCCCAGATTCTGTTTCATCCCTCTGGGCGTGGGGAGGGAGGCTCCCAGCGCAAGATGTGTGGCAGAATGAGAATGTGAAGGGTTTCTCCCATCTATCTCAGGTCCTATTAGTCTAGTCTTTAGGGTTTGTAGAATGAATCACAGATCCACCAGCACAAAAACACTGACCTTACTTCAAATAATAGCTGCATCTGCTGTGGGCTAAAAACGAAAAATTGCCTTTCTTCATTTTTTTAAAGATTTATTTATTTTAATTAGAAAGTCAAAATTACAGAAAGAAGAAGAGACAGAAAGATCTTCCATCCACTTGTTCACTTCCCAAATGGAAAGGCAGTAGAAAACGACCGAAAGTGGGAGACCCAGAAGAAGCTCTCGGCTTCAGATCCTGGTTTCAGATGGGCTCAGCTCCAGCCGTTGCTGCCACTTGGGAGTGGACCAGCGGATGAAAGACCTTCTCTCTGTCTCTCCTTCTTTCTGTAATTCTGACTTTCCAATAAAAATAAATAAATATTTTTAAAAATGCAAAATAAAAATAGGATTGGGGCTGGGAAGGGTGAGAAGCTGAGGCATTCCTTAGAAGCCTGGGCACCTGTGGCCCTTTGGCTATGGGTGCTTATAGAATTCTTGGGGAGTTCTCTCCCTGTAGCAGGGGAGGCAAAGAGGAAGCAGGAACATCCCCAGTCCTGGTTCTGTAATCCCTCCTGTAGATGGGTAAACCTGCAGTGCCCACTTGCCCCCTCACCCAGTCAGCATCCATCCCACCCCTGGTAGTAGCAGGCATGTGCTTCATTCGCTCGGTGCTCTCCCTGCAGTTTGACAGGACGTCTGAGGCTCTTAGCTCATGAGGGCAGGAAGGAAGTGGAAGTGGCTGCTTTGTGGGGAAATGACACGATTTTTAACATTTAAAATTGCTGCATGTTTCTTAAAGCAGTTCTGACAACAAATCATGGTCATCAAAACAAGAGTTGTCAAATAGCTGCAAAAGGTCCATACACCTGATTCAATGGCTGTGTGAAGCTCTGGAACTGACCAAATCAATCCACAGCCTAAGGGACCGAGCAGTGACGCCTGCAGGATGACCAGAAAGGACGGACGGGGCCTGAAGCAATCCTCTTAGATAACTGGCATTTGCTGACCCCTGATTTGAGCCTGGTGACAGCTATGACGCATCTGTCAAAATCCATCCAATCGTTTACTTAAGCATTGTACGTTGCATCGTAAGGATTACCTCTATAAGAAAAAAAAAATGGTCATGAATGGAATCAAAGAATGCTCAAACTTCTCTGGTCAGCTATGTTAGTTACTTATTTCGACGACCTCAAAATTTTAGAAGTACCTGTGATAATCTTCCTGAAATCAAGAATTATTCAGGGAGTTGGCGCTGTGGCATAATAACTTTAGCCACTATCGGTGGTATCCACATTCCCTATGGGCACCAGTTCACATCCCAGTTGCTCCAGTTCCAATCCAGCTGTCTACTAATGTGCCTGTGAAAGCAGATGAGGATGGTCCAAGTGCTTAGGCACCTGCACCTATGTGGGAGACATGGAAGGTGCTCCTGGCTTTGGACCAGCCCAGCTCAAGTCATGTGGCCTTTTGGCAAATGAACCAGCACAAAGATCTGTCTCTACCTCTCCCTCTCATTCTGTCTTCCAAGCAAATGAACTAAATCTTTTATGAAAATATGCCACATTCTCACATGGCTTGAATTTTTATAGATATTCAATAAATATCAGATGATCTCAGTTCAAAAAGACATACATGAAAACAGGCATGCCTGGTTGATACGAAGAATGCTTTCTGGAAGGAAGAACCATACACAGCCCACAGCTGTATGGCTTAGGTAATCCTTCAGGACCATTTCCTCATCACGGGTGTCATCTGCAGCACCGACTCACGGCATAGCGTGCTTTCATTCTGGGATGCCTCACGTCCATAAACACATTCTTGCCATTCATATTGATGGTACTAATTTTGGCTAAATTAATTTTGAAAAATTAGTCTTAGCCTTTTATTATAATGCAGGAGTTAGTTGGTTTAATCTAGAAATAATGTGGCACCTGAGCATTCACTAGTGTCTTTTGGGGCGTTGTAGGGCTGACTTCCCACAGGATGGTCATCAATGGCAAAGCCTGCTCTACACACTCAAAGACCTCCAGGCCCAGGGAAACCCTGTCCTCTGCTGGCCGTGACCCCCAGCCTCCCACTTACATCAACTCAACTCTGAGCATGGCCGAGCAAGGCTTACCATTTTGCATCTCCTATGCTTCTGCCCTCGTCCATAGGATAGAGTCACATAACAAAACACAAGGAGAACAAAGTACCAGTTAAAAAGAATTAGAGAAGCGGGGAAAAGACCTGGCCCAGAAGGTTCTCAAGACGAAGGCAACGCTGCAGAGAAGCCAAGACTTGGGAGGAGTGCCAGTGTGGAGCCCTCAGTCGTGGCCCTTCTGCCAACCTTCCCTCCTAAGAAGGAGGGGTGGTTCGACGAGTCTTAAAAGAACGGAAACACCCATGAGGGTAGCAGAAATAATATAACAAGGATGAGGCGTGGTGGGGCGGATGTCAGTGACAAGGGAGAAAACAACAATGACGACGTCACACCTGTTTAATAGCAAAGCCAGCCAACTTTATAGCGTGCCACTCCTTGAAACAAGTTGTGGTGTGTTCTCATGTGAAGTCAGCTTGGGTCATAGCTCATAAACTGATTTTCAGATTTCACAATGTATCGGTTTTAAAGTCTGCCCGGCAGGTCACAAGCTCTGCAGATGGCCTGGCCCTGGGAAGACATTCCCAAAGTCAGCGTCAACTTCTGCATTCATGGTTCAGGCTGTTGAGCACTCCTTCCCAGAAGGTTCACAGAGCAGAATCACCGAGTGATTGACATGGCCACGCACGTGTAAGAAATACTAAAGGAAAGAAACCGAAGGGGAAAAAATAGAGAACTGAGGATACAGAGTTTAGAGCTTTCAAACTTTTATTTCTACACCTTTAGTAATAATTTCCAGAAATGTAAAAACTAGCTTAATTTTAAAAACAAAACCCTAAGAATTGCATTGATCAAAGGTTTCTCTTCACGGTACCTTGAATAACTGAATCTGACTCCTTTTAGCAAAAACCACACTGAAAAAGTTGCATTTTCTTCCTACGGCTGCTGAAAAAAATCTAAAAAATGTTCTGAGGGTGGCCTCAGGCACAGCGAGCCAGCCAGTTAAGCCGCAGATTGGGCGCAGTATCCATGTAGGGACTTCCAGCTGCTCTGCCTCAGGCCCAGCTTCCCACTAATTTGCGTGAAAAAGCAAAAGATATGACTCAAGTATTTGGGTTGTTGTTTTTTTTTAAGATTTATTTATTTTTATTACAAAGTCAGATATACAGAGAGGAGAGACAGAGAGGAAGATTTTCCATCCAATGATTCACTCCCCAAATGACCGCAATGACCCGTGCTGTGCCAAGCCGAAGCCAGGAGCCAGGAACCTCCCCCAGGTCTCCCACAAGGGTACAGGGTTCCCAGGCTCTGGGCCGTCCTTGACTGCTTTCCCAGGCCACAAGCAGGGAGCTGGATGGGAAGAGCAGCTGCTAGGATTAGAACCAGCACCCATATGGGATTCCAGCGTGTTCAAGGCAAGAACTTTAGCCACTGGGCCATTGTGCCAAGCCTGAGTATTTGGGTTTTTGACATTCACGTGGGAAACATAGAATTTCTGGCTCCTAGGTTTGGCCTGGCCCAGCCTGGCAACTTGTGGGTATTTGGGGAGTAAACTAGTTGTTCAAAAATCTCTCTCCCTCTCTGTATCATTCTGTTAAATAAATGAGTAAATTTTACAAAAATATTCTATGGGGTAAAATGAAAGGCTTTCTATCTTGTAGAAACTCTAGGGAAGCATCCCTCTCTGGTTCTTTTCCAACTTCCAGAAGTTTCTAGATGGCCAGTATCTCTCTGACCTCTGCGTCTACCATCACTTCTCCATCGGTGTCTCTCCTCCTAAGACGATAAGGACCCTTGAGTTACACGGGGCCCCTGTGAGTTCCCGAACACAGTCTGTCCGTCCAGATTCTTCTACCTCATCCCCTCCACAAGGCAACCTACTCGAGGTTCTGGGGAAGAGAACAGAGACATTTCACAAGAGCTGTTCCATGGCCCACCACAAAGCCTAGGAACTTAATTGCTACTCTAACGGAGAAAGCAAGTAAAAGTTTTCACAGACTTGTACTGGATTAGAACTCAGGGAGAGGTCTGGAAATGTCCGGTCCAACACCATCATTTCACACTCACTCTCCAGACTTTCCATCTCAACTGTTAGTGCGGTGTGCTCCCTGCCCTCCTTGCTGGGCCAGAACTTGGTAAGATGCCTCTCTCCCTAGTTACTGCTAACTGAATCCCTCAGTATGGCAAATTCCTTTAACTAGGAGACTAGATCTATTAAGCTGAAGGTGTGTGCTGAATTCTGCATCAACTTCATTATCCCTCTACTGTATTATTCTG